GGTTGGTACACAGCGGCGCTGAGCGAGTGACCGCTTCGGCAGCAGTTCTTGAGACGATGTGCACTTGAGAGGTGGCATCGCCGCACGCTGGCTGGAGGGGCCTGAGGGCCACATCACATGTGCATGGCCCTCATCTCCGGCACATGGTGCAGGCGGGCAAGCGGTGGTCAACCACCTCGCCAGTGGTCCGTAGCCACCCAAGCTGATGAAGCTCATCATATCGTGTTTTAGGGGTTTGAAATCCTGGACCAGAATCATCACCCTCATTTCAAAGGCGGTGTGCCTTTGTCCGATTGGCGCTGCTGATCTCACCGCTGGCAGGAGGCTTTGATTGTCTAGAGCTGCAATTGTTTCACTCACTACTTGTTGCATAAAGGCTGTACGCGCACTAACCTCTAGATCCTTCCGTCGGGTGGACAGCGTGGTTGGTGCTAGGCCGATCAGGCGGCCCAGCAACTCAACGGCTTTTGAAGCCTTGCAGCAAAAGAAGCTTGAAAAAAGGTCTTTGTCGGCCGCAGCAGCCGCACCGACCCCGCCAAACCAGCGGAGCATCCGGCGCACAGCAGCACGCGGGCCAGGCGAGCCCAGCTGAGCGGCGGCGGCGGCGGCGGCGGTGCCAATGGCGGGGGGCGCGGCGCAGAACGGCGTGGCGCGCGCGCCATGCAGCGCACCGTGGGCCAAGGAGGCCTCAGAGGTTGCGGACGAGCTAGGAGTGGATCCGCACATCGGGCTGAGCGCCGATGAGGTGGCGGCGCGGCAGGAGAAGTATGGATTCAATGAGTTGGAAAAGGAGCCTGGTGAGTGTTCAGCTGCCTCAGTCCGATGCTTTTTGAGTACATGTGGATAGCGTGGGGCAGCACCGGCGGCCGCGTCCTGCGCTGCCGCAGGCGGCCGCTCCAGGGTCGACTGGGCCGCGAGCACAGCCGGCCCGTATGCTGCCGCTTCCAACCTGTTATGCGGGTGCTGCGCCGCAGGCAAACCGATGTGGAAGCTGGTGTTAGAGCAGTTCGATGACATGTTGGTCAAGGTGGGGGTAAAGGGTGATCAGCTCGGCTCACGGCCTGCGGGCCTGGTCCAGAGGTCGCATGCGGTATGGACGTGCAAGCGGCTGCATGCGCACACAAGACAGCGGGCAGCCTTGCTTTGGCGGCAGAGCAGCCGCAGCCGACGGGGCCGTGGGCTCCCGGCGCGGCCGCGTCCGCCCGTGCGCCTGCCCAACGCCGCCGGCCCCCTGCCGCGCGCCACGCGCCCGTGAAACGCACCAAACCGCGGACAGATCCTGCTGCTGGCGGCGCTGGTGTCATTTGCCATAGCATACTTTGAGGAGGGGTCGGCTGAGGAGGGCCTGCGGGCATACATCGAGCCTTTTGTGATCTTGGCAATCCTTGTGCTCAACGCCATCGTGGGCGTGTGGCAGGCGAGCGGGCGCCGCGGGGCGTGCGTGGCAGCGGCCTCGGGGCGCGCGGCTGCCGAGGGGCGGGCTGTTGGCGGGCGCGGCCGCTGGCGGGCGCGGCTGGGCAGCATTGATTGTCTGCTTCCGAGATGATGTGCGTGCGGAGGGGTTGACGTACGCGGCTCGGGTCGCAGCAGAGGGCGCGTGCCGAGTAGCTGGGTGCGGCTTGCCTCATATTGGTCTGTTGGCGTTCGGACTCTTGAGCTGCAAAGTTGCAGGCTTGGCGGCCGCTGGGCGGCCAGCGGCGACACGCGTCTGATGCCTCGCAGCCGCCATTCTCTGCTTCGCCCAACCCGGGCTGCCCCACAACTCCTCTCCCCCCCCCCCAGGAGTCGAACGCTGAGCGGGCGCTTGAGGCGCTGAAAGACCTCCAGAGCGACTCGGCACACGTCATCCGCGGCGGCAAGGCGGTGAGCGGGATGCTTGACGGCGCAGCGCTGCAGGCGCGGGGTAGGCCGCCCTGCCCCTCCACCCCCCTCGCGGCCTCGGGCCTTGTGTCAGTGAGGCTTTGCGCTGCAGCAGGCCAGTGGACCCCGCGCCCCGGCTCGGAGCGCGCACGCTTGCGCCCCTTGCCGGCTGCCCGGAAGCCTGCGCCGCCAGCCCCTGTTGCTTTATGTATTCTTTTTTGTCGGGCCGCCACCCCCAGATTTCCGACTTGCCGGCGCGAGAGCTGGTGCCGGGAGATGTGGTCGAGCTCACAGTTGGCGACAAGGTGGGGGGCGGGGGACGCCCGCGACACAATTCTTGCCTCGTTTTCTGCCGCCCCTGCCCTCTCGCAACCGGGCGGGCCTGTTCACTGTCGACATCGCGCAGTGGCGGCTGGCATGCGTGAGGCGCCGGGGAGGGGCCGAGCCCGGCTCTTGATGCCTCGCGGCGGGGCGGCCGCGGCGTCGCTCTTATGGTCCCGAGCGGTCCAGCAGACCTGACTTTCGATTGCCTTGCCGCCCCAGGTGCCGGCTGACGTGCGGCTGGTGAGTTTGAAGACGGCGACGCTGCGGGCGGAGCAGAGCAGCCTGACGGGGGAGCCTGTGGCGGTGCTCAAGGGGCTGGAGCCGACGGCGGACGCCAACTGCGAGCTGCAGGTGTGTGAGAGCGTGGGTGCGCATCTGTGTGCGTGTATGTATGTGTGTGTGTGTGTATGCATGGATGTGCAAACTTGTTTTCGCGTGATGGAAAGGTGGACTGCAGATGGGGGGGATTGACTTTGGTTTGTATGAATTGCGGGGTGCGCGTGCGGAAGGTTTGTGTGTGTGCTCGTGCGCGTGCGTGCGCGCACACCTGTGTGCGTGTGTGTGTTAGCAGCAGCGTCCCGGGCAGAGAGGCTTGTTGTCCGGCCTGCGCTGCGACGGGTTTTGCTCTGACCCGCTCGCCGCCCGACACGAGAAAGTGCGTGAGGCGCTCCAGTCCTTTTGTGTTCCAGCAAGCAAACGCCTGGCCCCCTTCTGTCAAAGCATCAATCGGCAAGGCGGGCACAAGGAAGTGTTGGCGTGTGGGGCATGTGGGTTCCACGCCCACCTGAAATTGTCGACGATCTGGCCATTCCCCCCTGCTGCGCCCGCCCCTGCCCCCAGGCCAAGGAGTGCATGGTGTTTGCGGGCAGCGCCATCGCCAACGGCGCCGGCACGGGCATCGTCGTCGCCACTGGCATGGGCACCGAGATCGGGAAGATCCAGAGCGACATCCAGGTGGGGAGGGTGGTTTTGATTCCATGAATACAGGGTCGGCAACTTCTGGGCTGCCGGGGTTCTGCTCCTGCATCTGTCGTCCCAGCCGGTGTGTTTCTTGCGCTGCCACGCCGCCTTGTACGTCTGCCTGCTTGGCTTTGTCGACTTTGGACAGCACCTTCCCCTCCGGCATAGCTTACTACATACCATCGTTGCCTTGTAACCTCCCAACCCTCCCTGGTCCCTCTCCGACCTCGCGGCCCTGCCGCCCCTCATGTAACCCCCAAACCCCCACTGTCCCCTGCCCCCAGGCCGCCAGCGAGGAGGAAATGGACACGCCGCTCAAGCAGCGGCTGGACGAATTCGGGGGCCAGCTCGCCAATGTGAGCCCGCGCCTCTCCCCTCCTGCCGCAAGCGGTCCTCGCGCGCCGCCGCCCGCGCCTCTGGCCTGCCGCTTGCGCGTCTCCCGCCGCTCGCGCAACTGCAAGCGGCGCTTTGCGAGTCACGGCGTTTTCCGAGAGCCCCTAACTTCACCGGGCCAAACGCGTCCTGACAGCGGGGGCGGGGTCTCTCGCGGCCTGTCTCAGCCCTTGAAACGGCCCGCTCGCGGGTGCTGCGGACGCTTGATTCCTCCCCCCAGGTGATCTTCGTGGTGTGCGTCGTCGTCTGGGCCATCAACTACCACCACTTCGTCACTATCGCGTGGGTTCCCGGCAGCTTCCTGCCTGACTGGGCGGCCTGCACGTTCAACCTTGCAAAGTGCACCTACTACTTCAAGATCGCGGTGGGCGGCGGATCCAATCAATTGTTTCTGGATAGCACAGGGCTTGACTTGGATAGCACAGGGCTTGTCAAGATGGTTCGGGATCTCGTGCACCTGCAATTGCTCGGTTTTTGGGACGGGCCGAGTGCTGCCTGCCAGGCGTGCAGGGCGCGGCCGACGCACCCTGGCTGCCGAGCGTGCGAGTGCGCCCGCTCGGCGCACAAAAACGACCGCTTCCCACCCCTCTTGGGCCCCAAAAGGTGGCCCTGGCAGTGGCGGCGATCCCCGAGGGCCTCCCCGCGGTGATCACGACCTGCCTCGCCCTGGGCACCCGTAAGATGGCCAAGAAGAACGCGATCGTCAGGTGCGTCTGGCTGGGGGTGCATGTCTTGGAGCGTGTGCGTGAGGGTGCTCGGTTGTGTGTGTGCGTGCGTGTGCGTGTGCGTGTGTTTGTGTGTGTGTGTGTGTGTGTGTGTTTGTGTTTGAGTTTGATTGAGCATGTGTGTTTGCGAGCGCAGGTGTGGGTGCGTGTTTTTGGCCGCCTGCCTGGGGAGTGCATTGACCTGTCTGACGGGCGGGGATGCCATTGACATCTGCCTTTCAGGCGGCGCGCTGCTGGGCGCAGGGCCACACAGCCTGTAGCAACCGCGACGCATGCACACCAGCCCCCAAGGCCGTTCCTCAAGCGCCGGCACAACGGCGGGTCCCTGCCCCCAGCTCCGGCACAACCCCAACCGCCGCAACCGCCTCAACCGTTGCAACCGCCGCGACCGCCCTGCAGGAAGCTGCCCTCCGTGGAGACCCTGGGGTGCACCACGGTCATCTGCTCCGACAAGACGGGCACCCTCACCACCAACCAGATGAGCGTCGTCACCCTGGTCACCATCTCCGCAGATGGCACTGGCTTGAGGCAGCTGGAAGTGGCAGGTGGGGGCGCCCGCCGGCCGCTGGGGGCTGCGAGGTTGCGCGTGTTGGGGGCCTTGAGCCGCTAGGTTTTGGCTGCGAG